TTCTGTCGCGAGAGAAATAATTGATTCGGGCGAGCGTGAATCTACGTTTGTGTATGAGCGGAGAAGCGATACATGTTGTCTTATTCAATTTCGTCAATTATGACAGAGGAAGGAGGGAAGAGATCATGGAAAAGGTCGATCGAGACTAAATAAGGAAAGGGGGAACTGGAAGTGAATACTGGAATGTGAATTCCAGGAGGTTGTCAAGAGGATCGGTGGTGCGATCGAAACGGTTAATCACCGAGTTGAAGGTGTCACCAGGATAAATAGGAAATCGGTTGCGCTGGGGGGGAGGTGGAAATTCTTCCAGAATTTCCACGCTTGACGTGGAATCAGCAGGAGATGGTGGACGAGGTAACGTTGGAGCGGACTGGAGAGGGAAGTCGGGAGTGTGTGTCGGAAAGTATGTGCTCCGTCAGAGCGTCCAAAAACGCGGGTGATCGCGGGGAAGGAGGAGAAGATATCGCCTCTAGTACATTATAAGCCGGTTGTTCCGGAGAGGCTGGCGGAGCCGGTGATAACGAAGGTGGGTTAGGTAGCTGTGCAGGTTGTTGCGTAGGTTGTGACGCAGGTTGTTGTGCGTCATTGGTTGATTTTACTTGGTTTTTACAGAACTCCTGGTACGCTTGATCTAGAAGTCTGCGCGCTTCGAGGAAAGCCCGACTTTTGAGCCAACCTCGATGGGGACGGTGGCACTTTGATCGGTTCACTAAGGGGTGATTTACGTTAGATTCTGAAGTGTGTAATTTGTGAGGAGTGACTTACTGTTTGGTTGTCCGGGCAGACGGGTTGTCGAATTTCTAGCTTCTGGATACTTTGTTGGTCAGTGCCTTGGTTCCCCTAGTTTCGTGGCCGAGTTTTGAGCACTGATACTAATAGTTCTCATGATTTATAATATATATGAGATTTGCACTAAGTGAAATACACTACTCGCATAAATTAAAGCATCACCTCTCACACCTTCGAAAAATGGGTAAACTTCAAAGAAATGTAACTTCTACAAAAATTGTTAAAATGTTGATTTTAAAAAAAGCATTTTGTAGCTTGAAATCTCTACTTTTCAAATCTGTATAATGAAATAACGATTCGGCTGATATTTACGGAACTACATGATTATAAAGGAAGATCCGTAAAATCTCAAAATTTTTTGTAAACTTTGCACAGTTTCATGCCGTGAATGAGAAGTCAGGCACAAATACAATTCACAGCTTTCGAAAGCGTGATCCTTTAAGTTTAATTTACTTTTTTTTTTACCTCTGTACGATTTCTTTTTTACCGAGTTATTCAACATTGAAGTAAAAATAGTCCCTTTGACTTTGACTGCTCATAAAAAACGAACGGAGTGACGTATAGCATTTTTTAAAAAAGCAAAAAGAAGTTCAAAGTTTTCTCTTTAAGATGCTTTTATCAATTTTTAGACACAAATAAGCCTTTTATGTAAAAACTTAAGTGAAAGGTAAAGTTGAAAACTGAGACAATTACCTGTTTCTATTCAACTCGATCTATTCTGATCAAAAAGAGAGAGAAACCCTATGATATTAACATAATTTTACACTTTGGGGTTTACTGATTTCAACGAGACTTATACAAAACAATTGCGACATTTTAAAACTAATGTCCTTCATGTTCGAAGTTACGATTTTGGGCAAGACGACATTTGTTGATTTGAATTTAATCTTATATCGCAGCATATGCGATCACACCGCTGGCATTAGCGTTATCCGAAGCGTACAATGTGGAGGTTGCACATTCGGATTTACGCTTCTTGTGTATGTGTGCGTGTACGTGTGCGCGCGCGCGTGTATGTATGCTGCGTGTGTGTGTAAATGAAAAAATTAAATTTTAATATGAGATATTGCTGCCTCTATTATAAATTACGTCTCTTAAACGTTGTTGCATGTTTATGCACCGCCGGATCGCTGCTTGCGGAATTTGATGCCAAACTTGACGAAGTGCTTCTATTAATTGTTCTAATGTTTGTATTCGTGGATAATGTCGTCGCAATCGACGCAAATCGTGTTAACGTTTTGAACCACCCACCGATGAGCCCGGACCTCAACCCGATTGAGCATGTTTGGGATATGCTTGAGCGTGCGAAAGCGGTGCAGGAGCACAAGGGTTGGAGGTGTCGGTAAAGGACTGTATAAGGAATGGGATTGCTAGGGATATAACGCTAATGCCAGCGGTGTGATCGCATATGCTGTGATATAAGATTAAATTTAAATCAACAAATGTCGTCTTGCCCAAAATCGTAACTTCGAACATGAAGGACATTAGTTTTAAAATGTCGCAACTGTTTTGTATGAGTTTCGTTGAAATCAGTAGACCCTAAAATGTAAAATTACGTTAATAGGGTTTCTCTCTCTTTTTGATCAGAATAGATCGAGTTGAATAGAAACAGGTAATTGTCTCAGTTTTCAACTTTACCTTTCACTTAAGTTTTTACATAAAAGGCTTATTTGTGTCTAAAAATTGATAAAAGCATCTTAAAGAGAAAACTTTGAACTTTTTTTTGCTTTTTTAAAAAATGCTATACGTCACTCCGTTCGTTTTTTATGAGCAGTCAAAGTCAAAGGGACTATTTTTAGTTCAATGTTGAATAACTTGGTAAAAAAGAAATCGTACAGAGGTAAAAAAAAAAGTAAATTAAAGGTAAAGGATCACGCTTTCGAAAGCTGTGAATTGTATTTGTGCCTGACTTCTCATTCATGGCATGAAACTATGCAAAGTTTACAAAAAATTTTGAGATTTTACGGATCTTCCTTTATAATCATGTAGTTCCGTAAAAATCAGCCGAATCGTTATTT